TCACTGTATAAAAGAAAAACAATACACTTCAGAGATGATTTATATGTAGTGATAAATACCATTAATCATATTTCCTCTAATTGTTACATTTTGTTACTATTATATATTTACAGGGTGTTTCATAAACTTTTATTTACTTTCATCTCAGCCTGGACAAAGTTATAAGGGCCAATAATAATCTTTTATTTTTACTATTTGAAGTTCTGGGGTTTAAATGCGGGTCCTTATACATACTAGACAAAACTATTACTCAGCTATGTCTTTGGCCCTAATAATCTTTGTTTATTTTTATTTTTTTATTTTTTTATTTTTTTATTTTTTGGAGACAGGGTCTCCCTCTAGTCCTAGCTGACCTGGAACTTGTAAGGTTGCTATGGAGAGATGAGGCTGGCTTAGATCTCACAAAGATCCTCCTGCCTCTGCCTACCAAGTGCTGAGACTAAAGGTGTATGCCCTGCATCCCTAAAAATCTTATTCTAACTAATGAATATTTAAAATAAGGTAAAACTTTGTGATTATTAATATGAATAACAGAATTGAAATTTTCTCATAGGAGAGTTAACAAAACTGAAGAAAATTAAAGCACTTAATTCCAGTATTTTTCTTTGGAAAATACAAATGAGCATGTATTGGGCCACAGAAGATAATTCTGCCCAAGTTATCATTAACAAACAATATATGTAAACAATATATGCTCCTGTCTTCAAGGAAATTACAATCTAATGAAAACAAGATATTGTTACTCACAGAAGGATTTAACTATCATGGTAGATATGTAAATTATTCACAGGAAGACTAGGGTTCTATTTCTGTTCACATAACAACGAATTATGCATCAAAAAAAGAATAAAAACTAGGCTACAGTGGATAGACCTACTCTGAAGGGCATTTGGAGACACAAATTTGACTCAATTGTGTGTGTGTGTGTGTGTGTGTGTGTGTGTATACTTGAAATCCAGAAGGGGATAGTCAAGAGGGTACAAATTGGGGGAGAGGGTCTAAATATGATCAAAGTATAGTGTATGAAATTCACAAAAATTCTATTAAAAGATATTTGGATAAAAGCCATCATTTTTTAGGATTTAAATTGAGTAAATGTTCAGAGTATGTAAAAAAAAAAGAGAATAAAAGAATCATAAAAAAATACCTAATCTAGCCAGGAGTGGTGGCGCACGCCTTTAATCCCAGCACTTGGGAGTTAGAGGCAGGTGGATCTCTGTGAGTCTGAGCCCAGCCTGGTCTACATAGAGAGTTCCAGGCCAACTGAGGCTACAGGGAGACCCTGTCATAATAAAAGTCCCCAAAAAAACTAATTTAAAAATTTACAGGAAAATTCAAACAGGATATGAAAGGAAAGGATAAGCAGGAAGGTTTATATTTAATGTTGACCTTATAAAAAAAATTGAAATAATTGTCAAGAAAATAAAATTATGGGAAATCAGAAGTTTTATGAATGAAGTAGCAACCATTGAATTGATTTATTTATTTATGTTTTTGAGACAGAATCTCCTTGGACCCCCCAGCTGGCCTGGAACTCACAATGTAGACTAAGCTGGCCTCTATCTCACAGAGATCTGCCTGCTTCTGACTCCCGAGTGCTGGAAATTCTTAATAGTACATAATTTTAAGAAGCATAAATTTAAGATATGCATGTCATATTGTTTAGAAGCATCACAAGACAAAAAGGTATAAGCTGTAAGATCTGTTTTAATAATAGCTTATCCATATGAGCTAGAGTACAGTTAAGACACGCAGGAGTTCCTGAAGATAAAACTGAAGTTATGCTGAACAACACATTAACACCTCTGAATTCCAAAGGGAAAAGTTTGCAGTCAGTTTGTAAATACTGGAAAATTATGGAAAGTAACAAAACTGGGGCTTAGTTTTATGAACACAAACCCAAATAATTGATTCTCTACTTATAGGCAGATTAAATTAGGATGTCAAAAAAATTCTTTTGGTAAAATTTCTCTTAATGTTTCTTTTAAGGAACTACAGCTACTGAAATAATTGAGACACCAAATCAGGTAAAAATTTGGATTTGGTAGGCAAGAAAAGAATCAAGAACATAAGATTTGGTTTGAAATGTGACAAACAGGACGTGTGACGAGAAAATGAGAATGACGGAGAAGTAGCTGTGACAAATATCATGAGCTACTCAATTTCCAAATACAGAAGTAGATAGGATAGGAGCAAAATGTCCTAAGAAAGCATGGCATCCTCTGAAACTGAGTACACAGTGGGTGGAGGGTACAGAAAGTCCTCCTCTGCTCTAAGTACATTTAAAGTACTTCAGAAATTTTATGTCTGGCCAAAACTGAATGTACTTAAGGTTCACTGTGTAAATGCATCTCTTTTTAGTCTGCCTAATGTTTCCTGACCTGTAAATAGCAAAACTCAAATCCATTAATGCTATTGTAAAAGTTTACCTATTGAAAAGTCTTATTTAGAACAGGAACAAATCTTTGAGGGCAATGTAAGAATGGGGTACATTTCTATAAAGTAATTGTCAATAGAGGACATTGATATGCTCCAGTATCAAGCAAAACTGAAACTATATATTAGTTACATGGAAGACTCTCAAAATCACAGAATGTGCAAGTTATTCATATCTGACATAGGCTGCATTTCCACCTCTACACATCTCTACAGAAAATCTTAATTCCCTGGAAATGATTTCAGCCATTCTTCTCTAAATAACACCTAAATGTTCACAATGAAGGTATGCTATATCATCTGTGAGTTCTAAACATAGACAATTCCATCTTGACCTCACTTTATGTCTAACTGTTCAAAATCTGTTTATCCCATTTTGAAATGAGGAAGTATTGGACGTGTATGTGTTAAATAACAATTCCTTGATAACATCCTCCAAGATTTTCAAGGAAATGCATGGCAGCCAACTTTGAATTGCAGTCTTTGTTTCTAAAACAACAAAGTGTTAGCCCACTAGTCAACATCAATTTTTATGTCATAAATATACTTGAAATTACTTTCAAGATTTATGTCATAGAAATAATAATAAGTACGAGTTTCTTTTTGATTTCTATTGTATATGTTCTCATGCATAAGTAAAAAGGATTACATAACATAATATCATAACTATTTGTCATATAACAGTCAAGTATTAATAATTATTGTGTTTTTATTGCATGTGCACATAGATTGCTACTGATCACACATCCAATATTAAGATTGGATGATATGGATGATTATTGTATAATGAGTAAACATTAGAATTCAGAATTTCATTCTCTCATACTAAACTGAAAGAAACTAATAGCCCCTAACCCACCTTCCAAATCTTGTCATTAATGCTTCTAAAATAAATAAAGTCTGTGGTCAATGCAGCACTTAGAAGATAGATGCTCAAGAGCATCCTTGGTTACTTGTGACTTTGTCCCCAAAAACTAAAGGGATAGAGATAGAATAATGCTCTAGAAAATAGATTTTTGAAGAAATGTCTCTGATAAATCAAAACTATAGCAAAAGTTACCCATAAGTTATGCTATTGCTATTATATCTGTGCCTTACTGTATGACAACCACAACTACCTGGAAAGCTAGCAAACATGCAGGCTCTTGGGCCCCACCCACAGTACATTTGAGATGAACATGTCACTGATCACAATGAATCCCACTGCTCTGGAACATAGATCTGTAAGTGACAGTTGAAATCTGGCCTTTTTGTATGAATCAAGTTTTACTGGACCATAGCCAAATTCATTCATTCATTCATTCATTCATTCATTCATTTATATATGGCTGTTACTTTTTTTAAACTAAGAGATGCAAGGAATTGTGATAGATACTATCTAGTGTACAAAATCATTAATATTTACTATCGGACCCTTTACAGAAAATATTTGTTAATCTGTGCCCACAAATACTATACTTCTTCCTATTATGCAGCTGAGATCTTTGACGTTCAGAAGTAAAGTTTATTGTTATCAAACATGAAGACACAGAGTTATACTACTAGGGTGCTTCAAAGCTAATAAAACATTTACTACCATCATAAATGTTCCTTTGACTAAGGACAAGCTTCTCATTGCCATAATACAGTGTTGAACATCTGATCTACCCCATGATGAGAAGTCACAATGTTACAATTAAGAATATCATCTGAGCACCTAGTTTCAGGAATATGATTCAAAAGAATCTACATAGAAGGACAGAACTATACTGAAGGATTTAAGTTTATATTAATAAAATTTATTATTTCTTTGAGAAACATATAAAACAATTTGACAACTATCACTGATAATCAAGGACAGGTGGAACAAGGATTAATTCACCAATTTCTTTACTTTATCCATTAATTTCTCACATTATCATACATTATCCTCTCCCCTCCTTACTTATGTATCATTGGATAATAGTACCCTGAGAAAAAAACAGTGACAATCAGATGTCATCAGACTTAAAGAAAATAGTGGCTGCAAATCCCGGACTTCCTATATGTACTCTATTATTATATATAAATAAATATCTGTAAGAGATCTATGAGCAACTGTACTGCTATTTTCAATGTTTTATATTGGACTGGAATCAATTATTGATATTAGTTGCTGGATCGCTGAAGGCATTTGATTTTGAGATCCCTGGCTTAAATAAAACTCCGGGCAAAAAAATAAGTTCAGGTTATTAGATCATCACCAGAGCTAGTAGGCATATTTCTTCATATGCACATACAAAGTGAAACAGTTTTATGTTAGGTTGAAACTCTGAAATTGTTATCTAAATAGGGTAATTTAATTCTATGAAAGCTAGATAGTTTAGTAATTCCTCATTGAAAATGATACTGATAGAGATTATGATCTTATAATGATGAAGTTAAGACTTTCCTATTCATTTTATATGTTCTGATAAACAAAACCCTTATTTACTGGGCTACATGCATAGTTTTCCAATAAGTAATTTTTTTTATCAGAACCATTTACTCATTGTTAAAATATAAAATTGCTAGTGATTAACAAAAGAAAGCTTGTCAGCTAATACCTGTTGCACGATTGTTGTTAATTCCAAGCAGAGCTGTATGACATTATTTCTTGTAACTGAATAGTCTGTCACAGCAGCAAATGGTGACCTACAAAGGGAAAAGAAAAATTGTGATTTGTAAGAATAGCTTTTGAAAAGCACCAAAATAAAGTAGTGTAAGATAAGATTTTGAATAATAATGAAATGAATTGTTTGAAAGCTTACATATTGATAAAAATACAATATTTAGGACTCATTTAAATAAATGTGAAATTTAAGAAGTACTAAATTTTATAAACAATTATTTCTGTCAAATACCTCTTTGCAAAGTTTTAAAGATTTAGTTCTTTGTGACTTCTTTCAAGACTTCTTTACTACAAGTAATACAAAACAGCAAAAAGGAAAGCTTTTGTCAAAATCAGTATTTTAGTTCACTTTCCAAAGAAGCTAATATTTTAAACACAATGTTTATTTGAAATATTCACAATTAAGGGCCAACAACAATAATAAACTAATGTTTACTGGGGGTCTAATACGTGCCAATCACTATTCTAAATGTGACATATATTCTAACAAGTCTTCATGATATTTTTTTTCTAGTTTCTAAATTTAATTCTTTAAAGAGTTTCATACATTTTGATCATATTCCTCCCACTCCCAAGTCCTTTCAAATCCACCTCCACCTCCCTACTCAACCATCTTCACGTTCTCTTTCTTCCCAATGAATATAATTTGTTTTGCCCAAATACTCCTGAGAGAGATACTAGCTTTTGATCAACTCGGTTTGATGCCTAGTACTAACTGGGGCCATACCCTTAAAGAAAACTTTGCCCATTCCTAGCAGATATCAGATGTCAACAGTTCCTTGGTTAGGGGTGGCACTTCATAACCATCTCCCTTCTCTATGCCTGGATTTTGTCTGCCTTGAGTTTGAGCAGGTCTTGTTAATGATGTCACAATTGCTGTGAGTTCATTTTGGCAACTGCCCTGAAGTCTGAAAAACATTGCTTCCTTGTAGTCACCCACCACCTCTGGGTCTTACAATTTTTTTCTGCCTCCTCTTCCCTGAATATCTCTGAACCTTGGGGACAAGTGGAGTGGGATACAGATGTACCCTTTAGGACTCAGCATTTTGCAGTCTCTTATTCTCTGCACATTGACCAGTTGTGAGTCCCTGTGGTAATTTTTTTCTGCAAGAAGCTTCTCTGACGAGGGTTAGGAGATGCACTAATCTATGGGTATATCAATAAGTTATTAGGAGTCGGTTTAATTACTATGACCATTTAGTAGGCTAACAGTAGTAGGTTCTTCATTAGGGCCCATGACCCATGTAGTCACAGGTTCTTGGCCCCAATACCAATGCAAGCTAAGGGTTTCACCTTGTGCAGTGGACCTTACATCCAATCAGACTGTGGTTGGTTAATCCCACAGCATTCATAACATTATTGCACTAGTTGGCATATCTTGTCAGGTCAATCATTTTTGCATCTGGCAGGATACAGAGCTAGGTAAGAGTGATCTTTACTTTTCTCCTCTGGTAGCATGCACAGCACCTTCCAACATTATGAAATCTAGCCAGTAGAGATGAAGTTTGAAGTCAGCACTCATTTGATTTCTCCATGTTTTATGACCCAAGTGTGTGTTGTCTTCAGCAATAGGGTCTTACCATTAAGTTCTAGAGGGTAACAAGAGCAATGGCAATAGACTGTTAGGTTTGAGAGTCAATGGGATACCACTGGTCAACAACTAGAAGAGACGTAATCCATTCCTGGTACTGAGGTTTTTATTTGCTAGGATGAGGTGTCTAGTAGGGGTAATATCCTCCTGTTATAGGGTGTCTGCATTAGAAATAGGCATTGCTATTCTTCTCACTTCACAGAAGGGAAAATGAAGGTAGACAAATCCTTAGTGACTTACCTAAGGCCACAAAAGTGGTGGAGATACTGTTCAAACCCAAAATCTAAATCTAGAGTCCACTGCAATATATAGTTAAACACTAACATATGAATGTACCTTGGTTTTATTTTCATTTTACTCTCTTTTTGAAACAACTTTGTGTAAGAATGATAAATATATTCTACTTTCAGGTTTATAATTTCAAGACTGGCATAGACAGAAAATAACATTTTTTTTTTAGTTTCTTAGAACTTTAATTTGGTTCAGTTTTTCCACCAGTGAAGTGGAACAATAATTCCAGCTTAATATTGCTGTAAATATTTAAATAATGGACAAAAACCTCTTTAAGGACATTGTATGAAGAATGAACATTTTTTACTGTCTTTTTTGTCTGCCAAGTGAATTACAGTGGCTTTCTAGTACTTCATAGTCCTTGTATTGTCTGTAAATGCCAATTAGGTTTTTTGTGTTCAAAGCTTAGATAATCAGGGAGGCCCAGTTAAAGACAATGAAAACAAAATCAAAATAGAAAAGAAGGCATAGATATGAAACTGTATCAGACTAATGTAATATAAGTTTAGATGTATGCTTTTTATCAAGTTTAATAATTCTACTCTATTGCTGGCAATTTTTCTCACTTGTGGGTATTCCATTAAATGTTTTCTTCTACATTCACTGGTATTTAACATGATTTTTGTTATTTAGCCTATGGATGTGGTAGGTTATAGTGATGTCATTTCTTTGAAACAGCTTTATATAACTAGAGTGGATCACATTTAGTCACAGAATATGATTCTATTGCTTTATGGCTGGATTTGGATTGCTAATGTTTTCTGTTGAGGATTATAACATCAACTTGATGATAAATATTGGTTTGCTTTTGCTTGCACCACCTTTTTTTGTCACTTGCTCCAGGGCCCACTCCTGCCTAGCTAGTTACACCTTCCCTACACTGTACCCACCACCACCTTGGTCCACCCCCCTCCCCCAATCATCTAGCCTGAGACCTCCAAATTAGCTTCCTAAGCCAGTATTTTATAGGGCTGGGGATGTAGCCCAGTGGTAGAATGATGGCCTGATATCTGTAAGGCACTGGGTTTGATGCCTAGTACTACCAATTTCATTAAAAATTATAATTAAGTAATAAAGCTAAAATCATAGAAAAGTAAACTTTAATTATAAAGAATTAAACTTTTTCTATTTAATAATAATTTTCATT